CACAAGGAGAGATCACCCCAACCGTTTCAGGCTTCCCCTGCAGTTGCGACAACCGTGCATGCTCAGCAGCCAAGGCTGGTGAGTATTAAAGTCTCTCTGTCTCTCTCTCTCACTCTCTCTCTCTCTCTCTCTCTCTCTCTCACTCTCTCTCTTTCTCTCTCTCTCTCTCTCTCACACCACACACACACACACACATTTAGAAATCCAGCTCCAGTTCTAGGTCTGAACTGGTGCGGGTCCAGTCAGATCACAGTATGTGTCCTTCTGTCTGTCAGACTCTAGACGGTCAGAACATCTATAACGGCTGCTGCACACTGAGGATCGACTTCTCCAAACTGAGCGTGCTCAACGTGAAGTACAACAACGACAAGAGTCGGGATTTCACCAGAGCCGACCTGCCAAGCGGAGAGCTAGAGCCCGCCGCCACCTTCGGTAAGAGTAAGGGCTTGTCTCAATATGCATACTTTTGCGTACTTGTGTTCTCGTGTACTCGTGATAAGTCAAGCCGAAAATATTCCCTGATGCCTCCGACGTCTTCGGAGACGTCTGTTACCCACCAGCTCCATAGCAGACTGGGAGGTCAAGGATCACTAGAGCCGGCGAGAACAGCGGATTCCCGGCACATCATTTTCAACCCCCCTCCCCGCGGTCTTTTACTACTTAGGTTAAACATGATATATAGGTCTCTTAGATAACTTTGAAATGTTAATGTTTGGCTTTTTTCAGTGTTTTATTTGTTCCTGAGTAAATCGAGTTGGCTGAGATTAAAGTTAAGCTTCATAACATATTAGTCACAGTTAAATTAAGAGGGGACAGCCGAAAGAACTCTGGACCTGTGACATCATCAAGTACGCTGGTGTTTCAGTTGTACAAATTCATTACAACTCATCAAGCGCACACACCTCGACTGACCAGCAGCTGTCATTTCTATAACTCTATGCAGACCTCAGAGTCATTGTATGGGGGCGGGGCTAGTGAGCTAACCTGTATGTGTGTTTCAGGTGTAGCTTTGCCTCCGTATGGAGCAGCGGCATTCCCACCCACTTTCCACCAACACACAGGTGAGTTGCACATGAACATCACCTTTGACCATTGACATTTACATGTTTTAAGATGAGTCCATGTTTAATAATCCGGCTGCTGGATGCGCTGAGCGTGAATTTGGAAACCACTGAAATAAAGTTTTGGTGTTTTCCGTGCTCAGGTCTGTCCATGGCGGCCGTCCCTGGCTCGCTAGTGTCTCATCCTCGCGTCTCACTGCAGATGGCACCTCCTGCTGTCCATTCGGTGCTGCTGGTGTCGAACCTGAACCCAGAGGTCAGAGGTCACACATGGTAGCTCACACAGTCACTATCCAATCAGAGCACAGCTCACTGAGCTAACTTGTTTTTTGTTTTTGAACAAAATAACAATTACAGCACTCATTTTACATGACAACAAAAAGTTACATACAAGTACAAGTGGTTAAGAACAAAGCAGCCATCGAATAAAGAACAAAAGAACAGTATAGGTCAGAAATACCATAAAGCAGCATACAAGTACAGTAAGGTGATCTATCATATAAAAGTAAAAAAACAAAAGTACGCACATATAATCAAGTAAGGTGTGAGCTTTATTTAAGTTACACTTGTCTAATGAAGCCTTCCAGAGCAGCAATTCATTTTTCAATCCAGCAAAAATCGGAGTAATTTTCAATAAGCGACGTTTGTGAATGAAAAATTTTGCAACTATAATCTAATACTTGAAAGGTTAGAGAAGGGCAGTCAATATTTATGGAGGTTAGCCAGTACTGAAAATCATCCCCAAAAGATCTGGAACTTTCACATGAATAAAAAAGATGCTCTGTAGTCTTAATATCAGTATTGCAGAAAGTGCATGCATTTGTATCTACAGGGTGGGCCATTTATGTGGATACACCGTAATAACATGGGAATGGTTGGTGATATTAAAGTCCTGTTTGTGGCACATTAGTATATGTGAGGGGAGCAAACTCCTCAAGATGGGTGGTGACCATGGTGGCCATATTAGAATCGGCCATCTTGGATACAACTTTTTTTTTAATCCGGTTGTTCAGTGATGACGCGACGAATCCTACTTCCGGGTCTAAAGTAGTCTGCGTTTAATATGGCTTTTGTGTTGTTAACATGTTTAATGTTATTGTATTTTCTTCTATTTGATCTCAAAAAGCTCCTAAAACAGTCAGTGATCACTGTTGACCTCCCTCGGCTTTTATTACCGCTAATCATTTATTTAAGCTCAGTTTTTAAAACCTTAGGATGTAACTACAGCCCAGCCCATGCAGCAGTATATGAATGACTAACCTCGTATTGTGGATGGATTATCTCAGTTGTTCTCCTGGCTGAAGTTTGGTCCTTTTACAGCATCCTGCCATGCGATTACATTTGTTCCTGACCACCGAGAACACTCACGTTAACTTTTATCGAGTGGAAAAAAAGTTAGCTTGTTTATATTATGCTAACATAGCTGTGTCGCTAGCGGTCACGTAGCACATCATTATATACCAGCTAGCCCAACTTCAGTAACCCTACAAACGTCACTGCTGTTTAGTTTTCTGTCTTCATTTATGTGGAAGTGATAACAGAGCTGTACGTTTTAATTTGTTTCCAAAACCCCGCAGTCAGGACATGCTATATTGTATTTAGATAGAAGCTAGCGAGCTAACTCCCTGCTAACTTCTAACTCCGTTAAATGTCATAAATTCCGTTTTCATGGATGCCTGGATGTTAAACTCAATTGTTACACCTGGTAGAGCAGAACGCTGATCATTTTATTAAAGATGAAAGACTTTAGACAGTTTTTCAACTCTCAGTAATGCCATAGTGATCGTTTGATATATGGACCTGCAGCGGAGTTTAGACCCAGACACGGCTAGTGACGTCAGACTGAACAACCGGATAGGAAGAGGGCCATGTGACACATCAAACTTATTGGTAATGTCACAAGAAAAACAATGGTGTGCTTGGTTTCAACGTAACTTTATTCTTTCATGAGTTATTTACAAGTTTCTGACCACTTATAAAATGTGTTCAATGTGCTGCCCATTGTGTTGGATTGTCAATGCAACCCTCTTCTCCCACTCTTCACACACTGATAGCAACACCGCAGGAGAAATGCCAGCACAGGCATCCAGTATCCGTAGTTTCAGGTGCTGCACATCTCGTATCTTCACACCATAGACAATTGCCTTCAGATGACCCCAAAGATAAAAGTCTAAGGGGGTCAGATCGGGAGACCTTGGGGGCCATTCAACTGGCCCACGACGACCAATCCACTTTCCAGGAAACTGTTCATCTAGGAATGCTCGGACCTGGCACCCATAATGTGGTGGTGCACCATCTTGCTGGAAAAACTCAGGGAACGTGCCAGCTTCAGTGCATAAAGAGGGAAACACATCATCATGTAGCAATTTCAAATATCCAGTGGCCTTGAGGTTTCCATTGATGAAGAATGGACCCACTATCGTTGTACCCCATATACCACACCAAACCATCACTTTTGTTGTTCCAACAGTCTTGGAGGGATCCATCCAATGTGGGTTAGTGTCAGACCAATAGCGGTGGTTTTGTTTGTTAACTTCACCATTCACATAAAAGTTTGCCTCATCACTGAACAAAATCTTCTGCGTGAACTGAGGGTCCTGTTCCAATTTTTGTTTTGCCCATTCTGCAAATTTCTGGGTCATCCTCGTTGAGATGCTGCAGTAGCTGGAGTTTGTAAGGGTGCCATTTGTGAGTAGCTAATATCCGCGAAGGGATGTTCGACTAATGCCACTCTCCAGTGACATGCGGCGAGTGCTACGCTGTGGGCTCTTGCTGAATGAAGCTAGGACAGCCACTGATGTTTCTTCATTAGTGACAGTTTTCTTGCGTCCACATTTTGGCAAATCCAACACTGAACCAGTTTCACGAAACTTAGCAAGCAGTTTGCTAACTGTAGCATGGGAGATGGGTGGTCTCGTAGGGTGTCTTGCATTGAAATCTGCTGCAATGACCCGGTTACTGCGTTCACCAGATATCAACACAATTTCGATCCGCTCCTCACGTGTTAACCTCTTCGACATGTCAATGGCTGTGAACAAAGAGAAACTTGTAAATAACTCATGAAAGAATAAAGTTACGTTGAAACCAAGCACACCATTGTTTTTCTTGTGACATTACCAATAAGTTTGATGTGTCACATGGCCCTCTTCCTATTGAAAAAAACAAAAGTTGTATCCAAGATGGCCGACTTCTAAATGGCCACCATGGTCACCACCCATCTTGAGGAGTTTGCCCCCTCACATATACTAATGTGCCACAAACAGGACTTTAATATCACCAACCATTCCCATGTTATTACGGTGTATCCATATAAATGGCCCACCCTGTATATTGAATTTCTTGTGAAGAAGTCATTGGACAGATATATGGCATTTAAATTTTTAAATTGATTTTCTTTTGCTTTCGGTGGAATTGGAAAGGAACGATACTTAGTCAAAAACTTCAAGTTATAATCTTTAAACATATATTTTCCACTGAACTAATTTTATTCACCTCCTGCAGAACGTCACGCCTCACTGCCTCTTCATCCTGTTCGGTAAGAAAACTCAGATTTTATTTCTTTAACGTGTTTGAAAGGTGTTTCTGTGCTGATTCATTGACAGTTTTGTTTCATGTTTTTTCAGGTGTTTACGGAGACGTTCAGAGAGTGAAAATCCTCTTCAACAAGAAGGAAAACGCTCTTGTTCAGATGAGCGACGCCACGCAGGCTCAACTCGGTCTGAAACAATTCAGTTCATTTAAAAAAAACAAAATTAATTCATTTTAACATTTTTTTCTTCATTTTTAATGAAGCTGTGAGCGATGATACAGAAGGTCAGAGCTACTTTAGTTTTTAATTCCAGTTCAGTGAATTAATCTGTGATGATGATTAATTCAGCATAATAATAAATATTGTCATGAATAATGACTAAATGCACGGGAGTACAGTGGTCAATTGAATTATAATGAATGAAAAGTTCGGAATTGTATTTTTAATGATTTTAATACTGTAATGGATGAGCAGAAGACAAATTCTTGTTTATCTCTTTGTTCCTCAATGACAGCGATGAGTCACCTGAACGGGCAGCGTCTCCATGGTAACGTGATCCGGGTGACGTTGTCCAAACACCCGGTGGTGCAGCTGCCTCGCGGAGGGGCTGGGCAAGAAGAACAAGCACTGACTCGGGACTTCTCAGGCTCTGCCCTCCACCGCTTCAAAAAGCCGGGCTCCAAAAACTTCAACAACATCTTCCCTCCGTCAGCAACGTTGCACCTCTCCAACATCCCGTAAGACCGCCTCGCTTCCTGTTTGATGTGTTTGACTCTTGGAGACTGATATGCATTTAAATATCGTTGTCCTTCATTGTTTCCTTGTTTCCTAGCTCTTCAGTGAGCGAGGAGGCGTTGAAGGATTTATTTTCTTTGAATGGATTTGCAGTAAAAGCTTTCAAGTTTTTCCAGTAAGTAACAAAGCAACTCCGTTCACTGATTTGTGCTTGTTAACCAATCAGAAAAAAGCAGATTGTTATGATTTATTTAAAAAGAAAAATACTATTTAAATGAAAACAAAAAACATATTTTTTAAATACAGATGTTACTGAATAATTTTAAATTTTAATTTTTATAAAATATTATTTAAATCTATAATTGTTTACTATATGAAATGTTTACTTTACGAAATAATGAAAAAAGAAAAAAATAATGAAATAAACTGTTTAAAAAGTTCAGTTTTCTCTTCAGTTTCTAATGTTAAAAAAAATATATTAAAAATTCTTTCAACTTTTTTTTTGTAAGTGTTTATGTACTCCTTTCCTCTCCCTCCTTTCTGATGGGTTGTGCTTGATGATGTCACAGGAAGGATAGGAAGATGGCGCTGATGCAGCTGGCTTCGGTGGAGGAAGCCATTGAGGCTCTGATCGCCCTTCACGACCACCAGCTGGACCACAACCAGCACCTCCGGGTGTCCTTTTCCAAGTCCACCATCTGACCTTTGCCCTCTGAGCGGCCGCTCAGAGCGCAGGGCTTCTGATTGGCCCGCAGCGCAGACAGACAGACCACGGGGATATCTTTCTGTGCCTACAGCCAGCCTCGTATCATGGTGGCAAATGATGTCACAACCGAGGGTCATGGCCATGGCTACAGAGGTTACAGAGCACATTCCGGAGCAGACTGAGTAGCAGTGCATTGTAGGTAATGAAGTCCATCATGGAGGTGACGTCAGTTTGTGTTTGTTAATGTGATGCAGGAAACGAAATCAGGAAGTAAAAAAAAAAAGAAGGAAAAAAACCTGCCTTTTATCAAAGGTTTACTTTGAATTTATCTTTATTTAAAATTACCAATGAGCATTAAGTAAATTATTATAGATATTATTTTTAAATGAAATGAAATGATTTGACCCTTTTTTATGTTTAAAATTCAGATTCCAACGTTTTTCTTTTTACTTCAGGTTTTTATTTTTCTCGTTCTTCACAAACTTCCGCCTTGTTATTTTTGAATTTTCAGCCTCTCTGCACACTGCCGTCTGATTGGCTGGAATTATGTTAATGATTATTATTTTTAATTGTTATTTTAGGGTTAAGCTGCGATCTCAAATCTTCTTCTGTGCCTTATTTTCTGAATTATTATGCTGGGTTCTGGTTTTTTACGTGGTGTTTGGAGGTTTTGGTGATGGATTGTTTTGTGTGTCTTTAGATTTTTTTTTTTTTTTTTAAAGTAGAATTTTTCTACTTCATTTAAAATATTTTTGTTGGTGGTCAACATTTTGGGTGGGTTTTTTAATCATGAATGTATTTATACTGTACAACATGTAAGGCTTTCTGTGTGTTTGTGCGTGGGTATTTGTGCGTGGGTATTTATGTGTGTGTGTGTGTGTGTGTGTGTGTGTGTGTGTGTGTGTGTGTGTGTGTGTGTGTGTGTGTGTGTGTGTGTATATTAAGCTGAGTTGTGAGTGGTTGAGCTTCAAATGTCCCATCTTTTACTGAATTAATTTTATTAATTTCACTCCCTTATTTTAATATTTTTTTTCATTTTCTGTTTGGATTCGATTTTTTTTTTTTCTTAAATGGGAAAAAAGCCACAAAATACAGGAAGCTGCCGATTCCCAGTTTGCCTTCTGACCTCAGACCTGCCTACCGCTGCCATTTAGTTCATTATCTGTTCAACTTTCCCCATTTTACATTTTTAATTTACTTCTTTTAATATTGGAGTTTTTTTCCACTTATTTAAAGATTTTAAGCACTTTATGTGAAATTGTTACAAGCGTTGTGGGTGGGTGGGGTCAAAACAAGCCAAAGTTCCTGTGCCTTTTAATTGGACAAATCCATTTGCCCCCATTATGAAATCACTTCCTGTTTTCCTTCATTTAAATTTAAATGTAAACCACACTGTTTTTTAAAAGAATTTTGTGATAAACCCACCTACTATTGCCTTTCAAAATAACATTCCCTGCTAATGTTTTGAAAGCATTTTTGTTTACAGTTGTCTACATATTTATTCTAGCCTTGGTTAATTAATTAATAAACAGTTGGGATTAAAAAGCGTGTATGTGAAAACATGAAATCTTCAAAATATATTTGCCCTTTCAGAAAAAGGTTAGAAATGGTTGTTTAAAATGTTGGGATTTTATTTTGATTTTTATTTAAACTTTTTGTTAAAACAAACTGTTTTTATACCTGAATGTATCAGCTGATGTAAAGTAGTTGTGGTGCATTGTGGGAGCTGGTGGGACTTTATTGTTATTATATGAAATATTTTTAACATGGACCAGTGCATGATGGGAGGGGGCAGCGCTAAGCTAAGCCGCACTCTGCTCCAAAACAAAGTTTGTTAATTTTTATTTATTCTGAAACTTTGACAGGAAGTTGTAGCATGAATCACTGAATAATTAAATAAAATCATCTGACTGCCAAAGACTCCGCCCACTCAATCAACTGAGCCTGTCACAAAACACTTACAGATTTTAGGTTGAGATAAAACTTTATTGTTCCTATCGTGACACAGTTGTGAACTGTGATTGGTCTGTTCCACATTAGATAAGTCTTTAGAAAAAATAAACAACAACAACAACAATAAACAAACATGATTCATCTGACTGGCCACGAGGGTTCATCCGACAGAGTGATGTCATCAACCAAACCGCAAGTGGCTACGGTAACAGCTAAACGCTAACATTGAGCTTAAAGAAACACTTTTTCTCTCACATCCTCACACACATACACAGTGTTCAGACTGAAAACTTCAGAAATGTGGATTTTTGGTCCTTTTTCTTTTTTTTTTTTTTTTTACATTAAGAGAAATTCTTGAAATGCTACAACCGTTCCTTACAAAAAATACTGGAATTCATTCAGTGCTAGATTCCCAAGTGTTTTCCAGGGTCAGAGATTAAATCAGGGGAGAAAAATACATTTGAGCTCCCAGAAAAGTTATTGTCTCATTTGGTAATTTAGTTTTTTAATTAAGACAACTCTTTTCCCGCTGTAATTTTTTTTGTTTCTGGATTTTACTCAAGAAGACAACAATCCCTTTAGAAGTTTTCTAATCTTTTCAGTTTAAAATTTAGATCAATTTTATACTCGTGTTGTTTTAACAATTTAAAATGAAATGGCAAAGAAATATTTAATTTATTTTTATTTTTAATAATGATGTGCATCTCACATCGGACTAAAGAGTATTTTACCGTTTATGGGTTTTGCAGCTGAACTGATGATTGAACTTGTTGATTTTGTGACAATAATGTCGTCACGTTTCCGTACCTTTGCACCTTCACAATGACAAAATAATGACATTCTGACGACTTCATTTCATTACAAGGATTTTGTTTTTCAAATAACTTAATGATGAATTAAGAGAAAACTTCACTTGTTCATTGTTCACTTCATTTTTTTCCCCAAACGACAGTCAGCGGCCTCAAGTCCTTCAGCTGCTCATCTTTGCATTTTTTTTTTATGTTTATCCTAAAGCTGCACAGATTTTATGGACCAAAGCAAAAACCAAGCAGCTGCTTTCCTGTAGTGACTCACAAGGCTCAGAAGCTGAATATAATTCACCTTTCACGTAAAGATGATTCCGGAGCTGAAGATTAGTTTCAGCTGAAGTCTCTTTATGACTCCAGAACCAGAACTGGACGACTTCAGCTCATCCAGTCAGAACCACCCAGGACAGATTTTCCTCTTTTATCCAAAAGGTTTTGTTTTTTTTGTTTACTTTTGTAAAACAATGGAAACGGATAAAAGTCGTGATAATCAGAAGGTTTCAGATATTTTACTCTGAAAACAGCACAGTCCTCCAGCTCCAGCTTTTCAAAAACCACCGAAGAAGAGAAGACTTTGCAATAGAAAAACAGTGAAAGCTGACTCTTGTTCTTCTGATATGTGAATGTGACGAATGTCACATTCAAGTTTGTGCTGCAGTCTCAAATTAAGTAGTTTTTTAAATATCTGACAGCACAGAGGACTTTCAGAGTAAAACGTCTGCTCTCGTTCATGCCTATTTTATGCCCGTCAATACCTTCCATGCAAAATAATATCAGCCAATCAGGTGGGAGTATTGTGTAGTCCTCTGTCCTGATTGGCTCACGGTCTTCCTGTTTTCTTGCTCTGATCAGAGACCAGATGATTCAGTGCATGTGTCGCTCACATATTTCCTTGCTTCCTGCTCTCTCATTGGCTTGTTCTGGCGTCTTTCAGCTTTTAGCACCAAAAGAAAGATAAATAGTTAAAACACGCACACACACACGCACGCTCATGTGCACACGCACACATGCACACTCTTCAGTTTTTCCCTCATAAAAAAAGAGAAAAACAAAAACAAACATCAGTCTCTTCCTCTCCTCGCTGTAATGAGGAGGTGAGGGTGGAGGGGCAGATGAGGTCCGTCACCGAGGTAACTAGACATCGAGGATCTCCTCAGCGGTGCCTCCGCAACGTAGCCGGTAGCGTCCAGTCCTCCAGCTGATGGTTGGGTCCCACAGAGCCGACAGGAAGATCTGCACCGCCATCGACTCCCTGATGAACCAGGCGACTGCAAAGTCGAGCTTCGAGAAGCACAGAGGGCCGCCCTGTGGTGATGTCATCAACCAATAATCAGTCACACTTTAAAAAAAATCTCCTTATTTTTCAATTTCATTTAAATTTATTAACTTTCTTACATTTGTTTGCATTGTTTTTCATTAAAAAAAAAAACCCTTTTAAATCTAAACATTTTTACGATTATTTATTGAACTGAACCTTCAAATATTTTAATCTTTTTGTTCCAGTTTTTAATGTTTTTATTTTTTAATTGGCTTAAGTTTTTTTTTAATTTAATTAACCTTACTTACTAAACTGTCATCTTTTCTATTTAAAGGAAAAAAATTAAGACAACATTCATATTTTTCATATTATTATTAAATCAATCGGAAAACATCAGTAATTGGCAGCTTCATATTTGTGTTTCTGAATTCTTAAAAATGAAAAAGTAATTATTGTTGAAAAAAAATATTCCTTTTAAATTAGCAGTATGTGATATTACCTGGACCCAGCATGCACTGCTCCTCATTATGCAGCCAAGTGAGAGAGAGACGAGAATATAAAACAAGCTAACATGTGTTCATCTGAAGGTGACTCTGACACATCTGCAGCATCAGCAAACACAAACACACACACACACACACACACACACACACACACACACACACACACACACATCAATATAGTTTCTCTGGATGATGTCCAGGTGATAAATGTTTAACCTATTTTTTGGTGATTGAGGCTAAAGAACAAAAAACGCCCAGTCAACCAATGATCTCATCCCTGTGTGGTCAACTGTGTACCTGAACACGTAATGAGCGGCCCAGCCGATGATGAGACTGGCGAGGAAGCATTCGGAAACAGGCTCAAGCACGGTGCCGGGAAGCATGTTGATCCTCAACTTCGTCCACCTGCAGACATAAAACTTGATTAATATCAGCTGCTTTGAGGATTCAGGTCAAAGAGGGGATTCAGAATTATGAGCTATGGTCCAACAGCTACAACCACTCTTTAGTCAAAAGCCCACGCCCCTAATAACGCTGCTTGTAACTAATAATAAAAACTAAATGCTAATGGCTTATTGTGAAAAACAAAACAGGTAAGAAAATAAAGAACACAATAAATGTAAATAAAATTATGTCTTGCAGGTCATGGACCAAAAAAAAAACCAAAAAACCCCCAAAAAAACAAAAAAAAACAAAAAAAAAAACCTGGCAAAATGGAGGGAAAAACATTCAAAAACCATCACTAATCAATCAGTAATGAGTACTGAGGTCACCTGATCATGCGGGACTGGAACTGGCCAATGGAGTAAGATCCAGAATTCTGCAGCGCCACCTGTGTCGCCATGGAGAATTTCCAGCCTCTGCAGAGAGATAGGATAAGTGTGAAGTGAAGCTCTGACAGCAACATCGACAGGGTGCTAATGTTAACGTGCCAACCTGTCAGCAATAGCTTTAGCCATGAAGTAATCCTCAGCAATGTACTGGGCGAAGGCGACCAATCCGCCGGCCTGATCCAGAACATCCTTCCTCATCAGACATGACATACCCGTCACGCACTTTATCCCAGTCACATTAGCCGAGATGTATGAGCGGGGGTGGGATGTCCCAAAGTACACCTGGAAACAGGTTAGTGTTAGCATTTGTTAGCATCAAGACAAGTAAAGAAAAGAATTCCCATTACATTAGTGTGACTTTACCTGTTCCAGTGTGGCAGCGAAACCTTGGCGGTCGGCAACGTACGGTAACCCATGTACCAGTCCCACCTTCTCTGTCATCTGATTAGTCATATCTGTCAGGGTGTCCGGTTTCACTGCAACACACAAACACAAAGGGAGTTAGCTTTAGAATCAACAATGAAAACAATGATAGCCATCACATCAGTGGTGAAGAACTGACCTCTGATGCCACTGTCACAGATCCACACCAGGCCATATTTAGCTCCTTCGTAGCCCGGCATCAAGTTATTGATCTTGGGGTTAATTCCAACTTTCTTCCCTCCTGAGAACCAGAGACATCACATGCTAATGTTAGCTGCTAACAGATGAAAAACATGTAAGAAAAAAAAAAAGAAGAAAAAAAAAAAGCATAATTTAAAGTAATTTTTTCTCACCAATGAATAATCGAGCGTCTACATTCGGGTATTTTCCCAACAACTTTTTGCAGACGTCAACAGCTGGATCGTCTTGATCCTGAATGCACAGCAGGATTTCAAACTGTAAAACCAGATGTTTCAATTAGTCTGAGAAGCGGTACAACAACAGACAGATGTTTATTATTGGTGCTCAAAGGTTAGTAAATGTTACAGGGTAGACTGAGGCAATGGAAGGTCAGTCTGTGGAAGGACAGGGATGGTAGCCCAGGACAGTGGGATGGTAACTGGGACTGTAGGGTGGGACAGTAGGAGTCTTGGTAGTCAGGCGGTCATGATAGGTTAGCTGGGGGGAGTACTAAGGGGTAATTATCTGGGTTGGGAGTATTTGGCTTCACCTTTGGGTAATCCAGTGTAAAGAATGTCTCCAGGTTGGAGATCAGGTTCGGGTCAACTCCTTTTAGTGGCTTCAGCAGAGAAACTCCAGCTAGCTGCATGAATGGCTGTTTGACCTCTGGTCTTTTCTTGTGGAGGTGAAGACGTCTGAAAGAAAGAGGTCAAAGGTCAGCAGGTAAAAATCAAAGAAACATTTGAAAAAACAAACAAATAAAAACATTATTTAGAGAGAACATCATAACCAACATATTTTAAAATCTACTTTGAGTCTCTGGGTTTATCAGGAATGGAAAATCTGCAGCGCCTGGGTGAAAAAGTTCCTGTTAGCATAATCTGACTGTGATGTATCACTGGGCTAAAAAAATAAAATCATTCATTCATACAGATTGCGTTTTATCTAACGGGTGACCTTTGATTTATTTCAGTGTTTTATTTTATTATTAGGAAATCAGTTTGGCCAAAGGAAAGGTAAAGATTTATAGCTCCAGGTTCTATTTAACTTTATTGTTGTACTGGAAGTAGAGCTGTGCGATATGACCAAAATCTCATATCCCGATATAAGAATCCTATCATCCTGATAACGATATAAATCACAAAAATGTAACATTTTCTGTAAATTCTGTGAATCTCGGGCAGCTCGACTTGCGGGAAGTGTTTCCAGCTGCGCGTCATGTAGCTGGAGTCGAGTGTTTTAACAGATGCATGAAACTATACATTTTTAGACATAAGTTGTAAAGGCCGCCGTTTTCTTTGTGAGTATTTATTACACGGCGTGCTGCGGGGAAAAGCCTGTTCTAACGTTTGAGTCTAAGGTTTATTTTTTAGCATCTGGCGGCTCTTTTTTACTTCTCATCCGTAAATAATCTGCTCTTTCACGTGATTCAGTTTATTTTGAAAAGTCTCAACAGGATCTTGAGCTTTATTGTGAAAGGTTTATGTGGAACATAAACAAGCGGACACGCGATGCTATTACCGTCGTTGTTGCTAACCACAACGCATAAAAACAGGCGCTTGTCTGTCCGTAGTGTGGTTATATAAAATATAAGAGTTTAGGTCTGTCTTAAAGGAACGAGAGAACAGCTCTTTTACTCAGTGTGATTGTTTTTAATGTACTCTTAATTTGATCCGTTATTGTATATTTTACACATGTTTGTATGGGATATTGTATTTGTTTTAAATGTTATATACCTATGTGGTATGTGACTTTTGTTGCTATGATGCCAGGTCTCTCTTGGAAATGAGATTTTTAACTCAATGAGATTTTTTACCTGGATAAATAAAGGATTAATAATAATAAAAATAAGAGAAAGAGAGAACTTTAAGAAATTAATATAGCCACTACAGTGACCATCAAAACGATGAAGAAATATTTCCGTAAACAGTTTATTTTGCGACACCACGAAACAAACGATAGCGTAAAATGCAACGACAGACATTTTTATATCGTCATCCGATATATATCGTTATATCCAACAGCCCTAACTGGAAGGGAGCTAGTATATTTTCCTGTGTCAGACTTGCTCCAGCAGCTTACTTTAACTATTAAAATTAATGCAAAGTGTTCTGATCCAGGGAGGACAATGATGGCCTTTTAACTGGAAGCACAAACACGATATCCAGACTGAGGTTTTCCTAGTGAGCTCAAACTAAGCCTGTTAAGAGATTTTAGTTACTAAAATAAAAACAAGAACCAGACTTCCAAAGAAACAAAAACTGGGAACTAACTGAACCAAAAACACATTTACAAAATTAAAAAAACAAATTGAAATGAACTTTGTAAAGGACACAAAGAGTTCCTCCCTTCACATCACAGCGTTCAGCGATCCTGTAAGAATGGAGTGGTGAAAAAAAGCAGGTGGAGGTGTCTGTATTTATATTAATGACAGATGGTGCAACAGCTACACACTATCATAGTGATGTTCTGTCCTTGTCCTTTAGACCCATCTATGGAGATTGTAAAGTTTTTTATAGCTTATTTATATTAATCAGAGAGCAAATACTTGGGCTACAGCAGAGATAAGATACGGTTAGGTAAGTAGGTTACCAAATGTTGTTTCTAATACCCTGTAAACTCTCCTGAGGAACTTCAGAGCATCCTACCAGAGAGGAGAGGGACCTGGATTTATATTTTAGCAAATATAAACAAGGCACTACAGGGTTCAGAACACTTCTCTACACACAGCCGCTTAAAACCAGCAAACCTGAACTTCAATCAGTGAGATAAGAATAATGACAGTGCACTGTCTCACAGAAAGCTACGGCACCTTCATAGGCTCTACAGTTCTCTTTTGATAAGGGAAAGTTTTGACGCAACATAGAGATTTTTAAAAGATAAACTATGGGTAGCTGGAGAAGTAAAAGCAGCAACGAGGAAGCACAAACAAGCTGTCTGCAGGGGAACAAAGGTGACTCGCTTCTTTCTCCTCAGAAAGAGGAAATTAGACAATAAACAAACAGATTTCAACACAGACCATAGTTGATATTGTGGAACAATCCTGGCCAGGAAGTAAAAGTAAAAGCAGAGGAGGTTTCTCAGACTTTTAAAATTATTAATATTCGAAAAGCAGCAGGAGTGAAAGAGGGTCTTCTTCAGTCGCCTGTTCCAAATCTGATTCATAAGACCTCATATTTGAGGTTCATAAGAACATTCATAAGACCCATCGAGTTCCCAGAGCCTGAAAGTCCTCATTAACAGTTCCTGTACCAAAAATATCAAAAGCACAGGCCGTACAGGAAATGCTCTTTTACATGTACCGCACAAAATACACAGTCATCTCGACCAAACCTGTGTGTGCCATGTTTCATCTGCATTTAGTAAGAGCACATATCAAAGGCTGCACAGCACAATCATCAGATGTGCTCAATCCTTTTGAGCTGACTGATCACTGCACGTTAGAGTGAAAGCTGCAGTATCATCTGTTACCACGACGGCCCTCCGGGGTGTACTGCAGTACATCTCCATTCATTACTCTGTGAATGCAGTACATTAACTCATCTGAAATCTTTAATTTACTGAAGGTGCAACGATTGGTGGTTTGATGAGAGAAGATGAAACAGACTTTGTTACTCTGTGTTTTCTCCATTTGAAAACAGACGAGATGATTTTTGCTTTTAGAGCGAGCGGGATGGCTTTGAGTCATTTAGAGAAGGATTACAAGGTTTGTACTTGATGTGGAGATGGTTGGAGGTGGACAGAAATACAGAGTGTGTTTTGTGCAGACCTTAATAGGTCTGTAAACACTGCAGGTTAGGAACAACATGGTATGATGCAACTCTGGGAGTTCCAAGTGCTGGAAAAAGGTGTGACATCCTCAACAATGTCTCACACCCTCCTCATGGTGAATATATCCTCTACCATCAGGACGGAGTTACAGGGCACCACCCTTACAAACGCTTCACACCCAGAGATCTGTGGTACAGGCGTCACTCGCACATAGCTGTGCATAGAAGCACTTTCTTGCTGTTGATATGTTTATCTGACAGTCAATATCAACATTTTATCGAACCACTCTTTCTGTCATGCTTAAAAGCTCCTTTTTACTCCTAAGTGATACAGTTCATTTAGATTAAAATATGATTCATTTTCTCTCAGCTTCTGTCGGTGATGCTTTCTGTCAGCTCAAGGCATCACTTTAGGTTTAAAATATGTGATGAAGGAGTTTAGCTGGTGTTTTCCTGTGAAAACACTGCCTGTGAGACAAAAGGCTCTTCATGAGAGTCCGTTTCACATAGGCTGCCTCACTCGTCATGCTGACATTGAGCATACGTCCTGTTAATGGTCATGAATAAGACCAAAGGCAGTGACTGTCTGTTTGATCCAAGGATAAGAGTGAGGGAAAGGCGATCAAGGTGAAAGCACATGGCTTTGCTGCCCTTACAGATAATTTTATGTTAAGATAATAAACAAACTAGCTCAGCTTTTAATTAACCTTCCCAATTATTTCATCCTCATGTTATCTGTATAGATTCACATGTTGTCAAAGTGAACATATAACTTTATTTTCTGGCAATACACATTTTTAGAAGAGCGCATGTGTGATGTGTCATTTTCATTCCAAATATTAATCCCATTGAAAGCAGGCATGAATGCTGCCGTCCTCCCTACATCTTCCAGGGAAGTGTGAACATGTATGAACGTGTTGAACACACTGTATGTATGAACACACTGTGACAGATTCCCGGATTTCCAAGAAACTTTGGAAGCATGTTTACCTCCAACAGTTTCACATCCTTGTGCAGATCAACTCGCGTTATCTTTCACCTTTAACAGCCAACTAAAACACATTTCCCATGTTTGTTTGAAGTATGCTCCAATTGTCTTTCCCTACTGAAAAAAAAGGAAGCTGTCACATGACTTCTTAAGAATTTCAGGGGAAGCAAATCTCACAAAACCTTCAGTAAGTCAGCTGAGCTGCTTTTTGCTCTTTCAAAGATCTGGAGGGGGTTTAAAAGAAACTTCTTTAAGTTTTCTAATCTTTACGAAAACCCGGCAAATTAAAGAGTTTAAATCCTAGACTGCCTGGAACTTTTGCTTTAGCGGTGGAGATGAACGAACCATGTTCAGACCAATGAATAGGAGCCTAAACTTTAAAGTCCATTTACAGGATATGTTGGATTTTTGGGTTTTTTTTGCCAGGTCAGGTGCTGCTATAAGACCTGCAGCATGAATTCACTCTGTTGAGTCCAAATCATTAAAAAAAAATTTAAGCTGCAAAGATAAGTTCCACAAATTCCACAGCACCAAAGCCCATGCTCATTTTCAGCTTCCCTTATGGTGCTGCACAAAGGTATGGCTTCTATGTACGATGCTTATCTTCTGTCCTACTAAAAGTTAACTGATTTAGTCATGCTCCGTGTACAGAAGTATAAACATGACCAAAAACATAGAAATTCATGGAATTAAAAAGTAAAAGATAAAATGGGTTACAGCCGAATTAAACAACGGCTCACAACACTTAAATACAACACTAAACATACACTCCATAATGTAAGAAAAGCGGCTGCTGAATGAAAATTCTAAAATCCTATTTTAATTAAGTGAGATTCTGCGTTAAGAGGAAGCAGGAAATTAGGTGCGTAATAAGCTACAGAAACGTCACCTAAACATCTACCGCCATTTAAAATGTTCTGTACGATGAAATACGGTTACTTCAGGTTCCTTGTTATCGATTCACGGTTTATAAAACTATAATTAATGACGTGATTTAGTTTACTACCACCTGAAAGGACCGCAGTAACCGGAATATCCCGTCCGAGCTAACATTACCCGGCTAGCGGTAACCAGGAAAACGCCCAAGAGCTAACCGTCCAGGCTGCAGGTTCACCTCCTGTCATACATCCACAAACCCGTCCCCAGGAGCAGGGGGTCGGCTTATTTCTGAGTTTAACCCCGTTCACACATAATCACACGGGGACAGACAGAAATAAAGGAAGGAGCTGTGCCGAGGCTAGCCGTTAGCAATGTTTAGCCTCGCTCCGCGATGCACTCACACATAGATGATGGACATGAAGTGCATGAGCCACAGCACGAAGAACAGGATGAAGCCGAACACGGCGAGGCCCTGCATGGCGAGGTCCAGCAGGGCCATGGCTGTCAGCGGAAGCTGCCTGGGAGGTGGGCCGGCTGGAGTCACACGGGCTCGGGATGGAGACGACCAGATGAGCGGTCACGGAAGACAGGGAGAATCCGGCTGTTTCCGCGACTTTGGCGTGTTTAGGCTAACCGTTGCACTTCCGGATCACAGCGGAGGGTGTCAGGTGGCTGCCCGAGAAAGGAGCTCCGATAACATGGCCAGAGCAGGGTTCGGCCCGGTGACGGTAGTCTCCCAGTATCAGTGCAGACTTGGAGGGTTTGACAGTCAGCAGACTGACTCTTGGTCAGCTGACCGGAATAGCGGAGGGTTGGGGGATAAAAACTGTTACCAGACTTCCGGGACAATTTCAAAGTAAAGCTGTTCATTTAAAAACATCAAACGCATTAGTTTTTACTCGTTGTTATTGGTATTTTTATTTAGACTTGTAGTTGCTGAGCTGTTACATTTAACCTAGCTTTTCTACTTCCTTGAGCATTTTATTTGTAGTAACATCTACTGAAAAGTTAATCTAGTTAATTTTTTTTGTTCCTGGTTGTGTTTCCTGTTTTGAGTTGCGGAATTCGGGAATTTCCCATGGGTAACTAAAGTTTATTTGTTTATGGTGTTTTAGCAATCATAATTATTTATTATAATGGTTTCATATTGTTGTTCTGTTTAATTTCTATCTCTATAACTTAACAGAAATAACTAAATCCAAACATTGTCCACTGTTTGCTTCAGAAACATCTAATTTATTGCTGAATCGTTTTATACATCATTCATATGGGGCATGTTATCCTCTGAACATGTTAAGAAAAAGAGTTTAGATAAAAGGTGCACGATCATTTAACGGTCAACGTAAAGGCTCCCGTGAGAAGCAGGCATGTATTAATGGATCAGGTTAGTTACAGCAACCCAATGCTTGTTTCATTTTCCTCACCCATTTAGCAATGGGTGAAATGAGAGGCGATGACCTATGGAAACCATTTCTTAAAAAAAAGAAAAAAAGAAGAAGAAGTCTAGTTTCACCTTCATCAGGTGACTCAACAGGTTCAGAGCCTGTTGAGTTTGATCACCTGAGCAGGTAACTCGAATGTCTACTAGTTTTCACACACAGCCAGTGAAGGAAAGAGTGAATCACTGAAGGGTAGAGATCAGGTTTCGTTTGAGGAAACATAAAAATTTAAAGACACAGAAATGTTATCTCCTGCTTTCTGCTGAAATTGTAATCCCTAATTTATATTTCCTGCATTTTGTTGTGGAACAAACGTCTCTACTCACATAAAGGAAACACAAGCATCAGTTTAACATGATCTGGAACGTAACACAGTGACATAGTTACCCCCAGTAGAAGACAGATTAACCCTCTTGAAACACCTCTGGGCACTTATCATGGCGGTATTAAAATAAACTGAATTGGACATAACTGAATACACAAATGTAATATTCTGTCCAAAAATAACATCTTAAGAGCTTTTTTTCTTCCCTGGAACTCGAGCTCTTACCATGATTCTGACTGAGGTTTCAATTTGTTTTTCCTGTATTTATAAATATCATAAAAATTGCTCCACTGTGGTAAAATGCAGCTGGTGTGCTGCCAGAGTGTGAGCTACAGCTGTTGTGCAGATTTATTATCTGCTTCACTGTTACACGCTTTACTTCATGTCCTTTTGTTTTTATCTCTGGTGACCACGTGCTCTAGATTTCTTAAGCTTCTTGGATGACGTCGTTGGTTTTACAGGAGATTTTATTGTTTGACACAATCGCAAACATGATTCACATGCAGATACCTTCCGCCTCTTAGCCATCATGATCTTATCTCACTGCAGGAGTGCCTGCAGGCACAAGAATGGTTCTTTTAAACTTGCCACAATTAATATTTCCCTTGCTGAGTCAAACATTCAGACCTTCTACTGTCTTTATGGTCTCTTGGTTTCAGAGGTGACGACTGATATCAGGTCATTTTTACGCTTTTTGTTTGAGAAACCAATTAATCTACGATAAATTCAATCATTCACGTCACACGTGAGTATTTGTAAAATGTTTTTACGAAGCCTGCGTCGCGTCTGTTTGACGCCCGATAACGAGGACAGGAAACATCTTCAGATTAATCAGCAAACTGACAGGAACAAATCTTCACCTCAAGGCACAGCAGTTCACATCTTATCAGATTTTCAGCCTTTTGTCCTCTCTCTAGTTCACGTTCACCACTCGCAGGAATTCTTGGTTCATATTTTGTGCGTGAACCAGACGCCCTGCTTCCTGCTGGAACACCAATACACCAGACTGACCCTCCTCCTGTGGACTACAGAGAAATCTTTCAACCTGTGTGCTTGCCTTCATCCAGAGGAAGATGATGCTTTTCAGTTTAATCTTAACTGCAAAGTTCAGATTGAAATTTTTTACCACCAGAGGGCAGCATTTTATCAGCAGGTGTGCGTACTGCTTTTTTTTTTTTAACCTTTATTACATCTTCAGATCCTCCATCTCCCCAAGATTTACTTTTCCCAGCCTTCCACTGTAGATACGAATATAATCTAATAACTCACGTGGTTCACTCAAGGTTACACAGATTTAACCTTAATCACTGCTCCACCTTGTGGTATAAATTGGTATCACACCAAATGACAGCACAGACATGCTTTACCTTCAAGATAACACAGATATTTTGGACACTAAGTTTTACAGCAGTTTTTTCTTCATGTTCTGATGATGGTTTTTAGTTCATTTTGGAAGATTTTACAGCATTCGTACATTTAGTATCTTAGGGGAAAAAAATCTATGTGACCGTCAGACTCAGTCAATACAAAAATACAAATTTAAAACATTTTAAGCTTTACATGATCATTAGTTTTTTTGAAATATTGTGTTTTAAATGAAGAGAATTAGAGTTAAACTCAAATGATCTAAACATATAATTATGGCTCCGCCCACCACAAGTATCTGTGTTTTATCACATTTTTTTTATTTAGGTTTTCCCTCAGACAATGTGTTTTCTGGCGGTTTCTTCTGATTGGACCACGAACACTCAGCGTTCTCCTTCCAGTTCACCTCCTGCGTGTCATAAAATTCCTGTTGATCACAAGCACACAATCAATAATCAATAATCATTGACATGATGTGCCGATCGCGCTGATCAGACTGGCTCCGAGGTATTACCTTCTTCCAAATGGGGACATTAGCCTTCAGCTGGCTGATGCAGTGCTGGATCGCCTGCTGGCCGTCATGGCGGTGAGGAGATGAGATCGCCATGACAACACTGGTTTCGCCCACCTTCACCCACCTGATGGTGGAAGCTATGTGTCATATTTTTTATTTAAGTTAAAAACTACAAATGTAACACCAGCGTGGCCCCGCCAACCTGCCACATTTAGCGTCCTCACCCGAGCCTGTGGTGGACGCAGATGTGTGTCACGCTTTGCCAGCGCGCTCTGATGTCAGCACACAGCTTGTTGAACTCTGATTGGGCCATGGGCTCATATGCCTCGTACTCCAGTCCAACCACCTTCCTGCCGTCTGCCTCGTCCTCGCGGGTGGTACCTGTGTACACACATAGCACGCACAGGCGCATGCACAAATTTGTATAGCCAGCAATGTGAGGACTCGTGTCTTCCCCTCATCCACACCTGGTCCTGAACCACTAAACAGCTCTTTGTAGTCTGACACACAGTGAGGAGGAGCTTGATCTCAAAAGGACGACTCATTGCTGTGACTGTTACTGGTTATTGATCTGCTTTAACAAACCTCTATATTATTTTTTTTAACTTTAAATACAAAACACTAATAATATCTTTGAGAAATATTTGTAGAAAATATTAAGACTGAGCAGTAAATCTGTCTGTCGTGCTTCAGAAATAAAAGCTGAGTATTTTAACCCTCCGGGGTCGACGTACTCACCAGAGTGTCCAAATCAAACAACAGATTTAAAATGACATAGCAACAAGATGTTATTATTAATAGGGGTGCAACGATATTCGTATCGATATTGAACCGTTCGATACAGTGCTTTCGGTTCGGTACGCATATGTATCGAACAATACAACATTTGTAATTTATTTTATCAATTTTCCTTCTGACGATGCTGTCTGTGTTGAGCGCTCAGTGAATCTGTGTTCGACTACTC